AGCATGAAGAAGGCTAGCCTTTACCGCTTGCAAAAGTCCTCGTGTTCGGCATGCCAATACCATTCCACATCCTTTTTAAGGAGATTGGATAATGGCCGAGCCATATCAGCGTAATTCTTACTGTACTTGTGTAAGCAATTGGCAAGGCCAAGCCACTTACGCAAATCCTTCTGAGAATGTGGAACAGGCCAATCGGCTATGGCTTTGGCCTTCGTCTTTGCGTAATTTCGATGGGGTCGAACAATTGCGTCACCAAACGGTTAAACGTAGCCGGAGCATTCAATAGCCCTTGGGGCATCACCAACCACTCCCAGAGCATACCGCTCGGAGTACTAACCGCAGCGAGCGGAATATCGCTAGCTCGCATGAGCAATTGGTAATAACCATCGACTAAGTCGAGCGCACTGTACATGGTACAACCGAGCATATTGTTCTGAAGAACATCCTTTTTAGGTATTGGCGTCTGCGCAGGTATAGTGGCTGCATTGAGCTTATTATAAGCATGAACGATACGCCATGTACCATTCGGTTTCTTGACACGGAAAGAGGGTGTCGAGTGTGGAGATTTGCTCTCGCGCACCATGCATGCCGCGTGCTTTGCACGAAAGAACTCTTCAATGACGTCACACTACTCTTTGGGTAAAGGCCACTGCCGTGTTACGCAGTATTTGGTTCCAGGAACCAAGTCAATTTCATGACGCACACCCCTATCAGGCGGTAGAACCGACGGAGGATCGTGACACACCACGTCCTGGAATTCCTTAACTAAAGGATAGTAGGGATCTGAAGGGTTCTTCAAAATAGATGCTCCACTACGTGCACTTAGTGCCGCCTTTGTATTTTCGAGGACTGTCACATCGACAAGCGAGGATGAGTTCAGCTCGAGGTTAGGTCAAATGACAACCATATCGGATAGAGCACCAGCCTTCAAGGCTTGATGAAATTCATCCACAGACTTTTGTTTTGCTCTAAGAGAGCATTTAATGATGGGAGGGCCTCAAGATCAACCTCACCATCTACATCACCTGTCACTCCGTTGACCAGGGTGTACAACTGGTCACCGACATTACTACGCGATAAAACAGACGATTTGCGTCTCGAAGCTGCCATCTATCGACGCTTCCGTCTCATTGATGAGACCGTACCATTAAAAGTACTTGGAATACCATCATCTCCAAGGTCAACAGATCCCTTGACCTTAACCTGCTCTATGCGAGAGCAGATGTCACTATCGACATCCAGTGGGTCACTTGTACCAGTGACTTCACTACTAAGGTAATCGACCTTTACTTGCTCTAGACGAGAGCCGATGTCAGTATTGACATTCAGTGAGTCACTCGTAACAGTGACTTCACTACCAAGGTCATCGGCCTTCACTTGCTCTATATGAGAGCCGATATCATTATTCACATCCAGTGAATCGCAATTACAGCCAATATCACTAACAAGGTCATCGACCTTCACTTGCTCTATACGAGATCCGATGCCATTACCGACATCCAGTGTCTCAATATTACTATGAGTATCACTCAACGGAGTACGTGCCGGTCCACTAGGTGTCACTGAGCTCTGCTCGACACTATTATTGTTGACATCGGAGTTTATCAACTCAGACACTCTAATGTCCAGCACACTAACTGACTCAGTTAATGGCTCGCGACAATAGCACTTTTGTTTCCTAGCAAAGGTGGGTTCATGACTCGCCAAAGCTTCGCTAGGAACATTGCGCGTTGCGCCTAAGGTTTTGGCTCTCAAATCGATCCATGGCTCATGGCGTTTCAGCCAGGCCTTACCGTGAATGAGATCATATCTCGAGTCCAAATCTAGGACAAGACAGCGTTCAACGCTATTGAAATCTAAAAATTTCACACCTAAGTTCAACGGAACTTTAGGAACGGTGACACGTACACCAGTCGCGAGACGTACGGTTATACTGTCACCCTCTTGCGCTTCCAGCGCCTCAGCATACAGCTGACTCCCCTCAAGGGAGCGACGTCGGACATAATTCCCTGACGCCCCTGAGTCAATTAAAATTGACCAGGGTTTCTCAAAACCCTTAACGGTTGTCGACACAACCAACAAGCCTGGCTTGTAATCTTGTTCCATGGAAGCATCCACAGAACCACCTGGGGCTAAGCCCTGTTTACCTTTACCTCCTAAAGATTCAACAGAGCTTAGTTCTTTTCCAGTAGGGCCCTTCGCGCCTACTGGGAACTGACGTTTTCCCCTGCGGTGCTCGCCTTTTGGCTAGGAGCAGGGTTCCGGCTCTGCCCATTTGAACGTTGCTTTTGCAACGGACAGCTAGGCCTGAGGTGCCTCGTTCTTCCGCACATGTAACATCTACGGATGTTACCTTGCTGCTCAGCAGCTTGAAGATCAGCTTCTTCAGCATGGCTGAGGTTCATGGGTTCCGCCCTGTTAGAGGTATTTGATTGATACCATGGCAGACCATATTGAGCAGATTTGAAAATTGAACTCAGCGTTAAACGCTATGCTTACTGCCTCTTCGAAAGTCGAAGGCTGGACACGAACAACTTCTGTCCTGGCGACCCCAGTACGAAGTACATCCATAAAAATGGTTACTCGGACTTCCTCTGCCAGAGAGTCCTGCTGCATAGCAGCAATGAGAGTTCTCAACTCTTGGACATAGTCCGACAATTCTTTCTTACCCTGTCGGGTAGCTAAGAAGCGTGAACTCACACAAAAAGCCTGATTAAACGATCAAACACGTAAGTTGATTGCATCTTAAACATTTCCCAGGTGGGGAATGCAGCATTTACAGAGACATCGCTCGTTAAAGCCCATTCTCCAGCTCTTCCACCGAGCTGAGAAATGGCCAAGCCAGCTTCGTTGCTTTTCTAACACGAGCTTGGCACCTTTCACTTGTGGCGTAGGAACAGGCTTACAATTTGTCTTTCTAAACCGCGTTAAAAATCTTCTCAATGTAGCCGTATTGGGTTATCGACATCCGACACCCTGGCATGTATGATATCTCCATTTTAGGCAAATGCTTTACAGGACCCAATTCCTCATTTCAACTTCTCGAATATAGAGAAGAAGATTTTCTCCCACCTTCCCCTCAAAGTTTTTAACGTTTAAAACGAGTGGGCGAGCCTTTGGCTCTGCATCGGGCACAGGTACCGGGATTTACTGTGTATGTGCAGCTGACGCTGCCTGGTCATGGACCTGCCCGAGTAGCGTTGCTTCATAACGCATAAAGGCCTCAAGACGAGCATTTAAAACCTCGGGGCCTTGGGCAAAAGGGCCTCGATTTGATCGGGCCCGACGAACGCAGATAATTTATCTAGTGCGAGTCGTTGCGCCTCAGAGAGGTGATTTTTGATCTCCATTCTCACAGAGGATCAGTCTTTAAAGACTCAGGTGTAGGATTGACGACAAGTGCTACCAAGTGTAGCGGAGCTACACAGCTATTTAGTCAGAGGAAGGCTTTGAAACCGAAATCCTGTTAGTTCTATTGTACTAAATAAAATTGACGGCATAAAGCCACTTAGTTTTAAGGAGCTAATTATACGACTAAAAAGGCACCCTGTTCTAAGGAACGAGGAAAGAGATTTTTAGTCTAAAATCAAGAGCTTAAGGTTCAGAGAACCAACGCACAGAGTGAAAGAACAAGCTAGGAGCTTAAAGGTTCAGGAAATAAATGCACGAAGTGCACAAGAGAACAAGTCAGAGCGACGTGCGATCTTGAACCAAAAATGAGAACTTATTCTATTTATGCATTAAGATTATATGGACAATTTTATTCTAAGTACACTATGCCATCGTCTGTTATTTGGATATGAATTCATTCAATCATCAGTGTATGTTGTACTCAGTACTACTGTATCAGGTATGGGACCAATACCGATAGTATTAGGTATTATGGATACCTAGTTGTTACTGTAACGCTGCCGCTACCATTTTGTCAGCTAAAGTAAGGCAAGACAACTCTTGCAAAGGACTATGATACCTTGGAGCTTAACAAGATGGAAGATAGGGACGGCGGTGAAAACGCTGGAAATACCGTTTGAGCAAACACTGCAGTCTATGCTTCTCACTAAAAAAGGAAGAGAACGAGTGTCAAACATGCGCAGCATGCCATCTGTACTATGCGACTTGAAAAGAAGACTATCTGGTCTTAGACCGTGCTAAGGAAATTGTTCCAACGAAAGGGAAGAAAGAACTTGTCTTGTCGACGACTACGATGATGATGTTGAGACAGACAATATTTTTGTCATATTCGTACTTGACAACACATTTACGAGCAGCTTTGAGCATTAGGGTTTTGTGAGCGCCTTGACAAAGTGTTTACGAGTGAGTAGTGATGCCTAGGCATAATCTTTGAATACACTCGTCTCTTACGGGGACGTCATCGTGTATGGTTGATGACTCCAAAATATATGTACACCAGCGCAGAAGTTGCTGGCCACATGGTTCTTGATCATGAATTTTGAATGGCAGCCTGTAGCGCTTCTTTAAACCTATGCAATTTGAACAAATTCTTTCATGGCGAATAGATAACGAGTGAGGTACTTTGTGCAGCAGATCTGCTTGCAGTTCAAATACAAATTTCTAATACATTTTGCCACAAGTACATGCACAACATGGTCATCGAGAGGCTTGGACACAGCCGCAATGTGTGGCTAGTGTTTTGTGCCTTTATTATGATCTTGCTTTATGAATGCAACCTCATGATTAGGTAATTAGGATAGCTTGGATAGCCGAAACAATGTCTATTAGATTCACTTTATGTTGTTCATCAAGCCGTAGAAAGTCTACAGTAGAACGTTTGCCTGCTGCACACTTAGCAGGAAAAATAACACTCGACTCGAGTATGAGTCTCTTAATGTCTAAATTTTAAACTATTTAGGTAAAAAAATAAGAGAAACACAGTAGCATCGTTTTTAAATCTGGGCTTTTTAGGCGTCTTTGAAATGTCAAAAACACGAAATAGTTGCAAGTTGAGAGGAATTTCAAAAAAATATCTAGTTTTTGACAAAATGGTGACGTTCAGCGCGGCCGAGGCGGCCGTATACGATCGGCAAATGCGTTTATGGGGCATAGAGGCCCAGAAGCGTCTACAAAATTCACACGTTTTGGTCAGTGGTCTCTCAACGCTAGGCTTAGAACTTGTCAAGAACTTGGTGCTCGCTGGTATGGGCGTTACGCTGCATGACACGCAACCAGCGACGCAAACGGCAGTGGACTCCCAATTTTTTCTATTGGAGGAGGATGTGGGCAAAAACGTGTGTCAAAAATCTCTATTTGCTTTTGTCTAAGACTCTATTTTAAAATTGTCAAGAACTCTATTTCTAACATATGACTCTATTTGATTGAAATAGCGTGCTGAGGCGTGTCTACCGCGCGTACAGGAACTTAATCCATTGGTACAGGTTACAAGTATAACCAAGTCACTCACGGACCTCCCGGACGATTTTTTTAAACAATTTACAGTCGTGTGTTTGGTGGGGGCCGAGCTGGACACGGAGCTGAGGTTGGACGCCCTGTGCCGTTCATGTGGCACGGCATTTTACGCTGCCAGGAGTTTCGGCTTTGATGGTATCGTGTTTGCCGACTTGGGGGAGCACAAGTTCCGTCGAGATACAGTGAGAGCTGATGCAGCGCTAAACGAGACGCTGACGGTCAAGTTTCCGACTTTGGAAGAGGTTCAGAAGGTCCAGTGGAGCTCATTGCAGAGTTCTCGCAAGCGCGCACCTCAGCTACCACAGGTTTTTGTAAAGAACCAACGTACGTGTGTCATAGAGTGTGGTGAGGTGGTAAACGAATATTGAGAGCTAATAGCCGTGCAGTGTTGCAAGGGTTTAAAAGGCAGAAGGGCAGGACGGAAATTACTAGCAATGACCAGGTGGACTTTACCCAGTATGCGAGAGAGCAGTTCCAACGCAACGGACTTGACGAAGAATACCTTTCGCCGAACGAGCTGCAGTACGTGCAATTTGTCTTTATCTGTGAAGCTTCTGAGAGTGACGCCTTTATTCTGACGCCTTTATTCATTTACGGCCACTTTCTCTATCGATTTTCATAGGGCGCTGGTTCGCGTCGTGGACACTGAGCTCGTGCCGGTCTGCGCTATCGTAGCAGGAATAATGGGTCAAGAGGTAGTTAGAGCCATCTCGCAAAAGGACGAACCTATTTGCAACATCTTTTGCTTCGATGGGGCTACAGGCGTTGTGCGACGAGTGGGGTAGGCAAAACAGGACGATGATGGAATATCTTGCAAAATCCGCGATGCATTGAATGAATTTCTTTGCCCAGTCTGATTTGGCTAGTTTTTGTTTTGCTGTTGCTGCTTTTGCTTTTGGACAAGAAGGCGCTTGGAGCGGTGCGTTCCATTCCTCGGCAAGACGCCATGTTGGCTATCAGGAGCGTTGTATAGGTAATGTCTTCGATGATCAGCTGCGCGTAAGAAGACAATAGAAGGTCGTATCCTGCACGATTCACTTGTTGCCTACGAGAATAAATCGATGTTAACGTGAAATGCACGAAAGAAAAAGGCAGCAAAAAAGATGAGCAATGGAGAGCGTGGGTTAATGACAACGATGCCGTTAAGTCCAGACTTGGCAGTCGACACAGTGGAGACACGGTTTGTGAATACGATGGCGGAGAAAACGAGCAGTGCTATACACGTCGATCAGCATAGAGGGCAACTACTTGAACCAAAGGGTCACCGCAAGGTTTGAGGTGAAGTACCACGATCAAATACTGGTTTTGTCTGCAAAGGATGGTTAGCGATGGTGTAGAGAGCATTGGTGGCAAACGCGCCACTGCACCCAAAGAGAAGAAGATAACAGCTTTATCTATTCCTATCAGTGTAGCGAGCAAGCGCTGGTATTGTATTTTGTTTGAGCGCTTGACCAACGCATTGCTAGCTGATATACAAACACTTTCTTGTGATGCGCCGGCGTTAGTAGATAATAATATTGCTTCTTGGCGGTACCATGGTACTAATCGAAATGAAGCAGCCAGCAAGGCATTGGTTGAATGCAATCGGATAGAATGTTAGAAACCACAGCTTCCCACAAAATACGTAAGGACGATACTGTTATCGCTATGAGACAACATCAAACTAATAACGTTCAAATGTAGGCACCATAAGCATGACCATAACATACAATTCATCGACAACGAATCTGGAAACTGGCGAGAAAAACGCAAGGATGGAAGCATTTGACCGTCTACTCGGACCCAAAGCTACTTGTATTGGTACTCATGTCGCAACTCGATGCCAAGCTCGGTATTGCTTATAAGCCAAAGAAAAGCTGGAGTATGACAAGCCTGTCAATCTGTGCTTTTTGCAGCAACAAAGGTCGGCCCTGCCGTTGTGGATTTTACTAAGCCTTGGTGGTGTAGAAGCAGAGTCTGATTACACTTCGAATCGAAGTTTGGAGCAGCGTACGAAGCATCCTAAGAGGAAGAGTACATGATCTTTTGCGAAAATGACGACGAGTATTGTCCCGCGGTAAAATTTGAAGCGTTTACTCGCTCACCGCGCGGCAATAAAAAAACACAATGGTGAGATATAGTTCTGACCCAGCTAAGTCTATTCTGTACCTGAAGTTCACTGCGAATTGCCGAGATGCTGTTAGGGAAGCGCTGAATTTGAATACGTGTCAGCGCGTCGGAAGAAATAGGAGACGCAAAGTTCTGCACAAAATGAAGATGAGAATGAATTGGTATTTGACAAGGACCACGGTCTAGTGTCGCACTTTTAAGCCACGTTGCAGGCACTGAAACAATTTTACGACTAGTTCAGCAATCCATTCTATCGCAGATATTACGCCAATACCAAAGATACAAGTTAATCGATCGGTGAGATGCTATCGACGAAGCAACGGCGATGCACTTTTGTGGAAGTGCGATATTTGCTGCCCAGAACAAGTGAATACAAGCTCTTGGACTGATGACTACTAGCTGAGTTTACCAACATTGCCTTTCGCACGTCATGATAACGATCCAGCTCTTTTCGGGTTAACACTAACAACAGCGTGGTGCCTGTAGTCAAACGGGTTGGTATGTCGAAATCTGATGACGAGTGATAAACCATGGATTCTAGTATTTGTGTTAACGTTGCTGACATGGTTGACATTTTGGTGCCATTGTCCACCGTGAACCTTCTCAGAATGCTTTTTCTTGAAGCAACCGATTCGCTTAGAAGGTGGACGTCGTGGCCATACTTGAACGCATTTACATACTTGCTTCCTTCCAGCAACACGGCTTCCTTCTTCTAAGACGCCTCGATGAAGCTTTCTCTTCTCCTCGCACTAGCTGCTTCTGTGGCTACCACAAACGCTGTTATCCCTGTCGTCCCGACAGATCGCATGTTCCAGTTCCTCCAGGAAAAGTCAAGCCTCGAGTCGGAATTAACCACGTGGAAGCAGAGCGATGCTGGTCAATTCGCCACGAAGCATGGCTTTGCTCCTGCCTCCTCTTCGAGGAATGTCGGTGCAGCAAAAGACGAGGAGCTGCGCCGATTCTTTCTGACTAAGCTACTGATTGAAGAAGTTCAAGCGACAAACCCTGAAGCTGTTTTCTCAATCGATACGCCTTTTACGCTAATGACGGAGGACGAATTTACCAAATTCGTTGGTGAGTCGTATCAACGTAGCTCTGGTCTTCTCACGGACACCTCATCCGCTGTCGAAGTGCTCTCGAACGCGACAACCCCACCCAGTACTGACAAAGACTGGACTACGTCAGGATGTGTTGTTGGTGTCAAGAACCAAGGTCAGTGCGGTTCTTGCTGGGCATTCGCAGCCGTGGCTGCTCTCGAGAGTGCCGTTTGCCTCGCTGGGCAGCCCTTGATACCTCTTTCTGAACAGCAGGTGGTGGATTGTGACAAGACTTCGCACGCCTGTCAGGGCGGTTTCCCTGGCGATGCTTTGAACTTCATCCAGCGTTCTGGTGGTGTCTGTACGGCGAAATCCTACCCGTATGTGTCAGGGGACACAGGCGACGGCGATACGTGCCAGAAGTCATCTTGCACTCCTCAAGCTGTGACCATCCGGAACGTCGCGACGGTTCCTGAGAGCGAGAACGGCCTGCTTCTAGCTATCAGCAGCCGCCCTGTGGCCGTTGGCGTTGCAGCCGGTAACCCCACATGGAAGCAGTACAAGCGCGGAATTGTGTCGTCCTGTACGTCAAATGAACTTGATCATGCTGTCTTGGCTGTGGGCTATGGTAGCAATGGCTCGTCTTCCTACTTCAAGATCAAGAACTCGTGGGGCACCCAGTGGGGCGAGGCGGGATTTATGCGACTAAAGCGTGGTGCTGGCACTGGCAGATCCGGCACGTGCGGCATCATCGGTCGAAAGTCCGTCTACCCGCAACTGTAGACGAAGCGTGACCATAAAATGCAAGTACACATTTCGTAACGACTATAAGCATCACTTTTGTTATTGGATGCATAATCTGGAAGTGGCACCTGGATATTGATGTAAAACAGCTCTTTTGCAGTGTGTTTGGAGACGCTACATGTGTACAATCGCCTATCAAGGCATTTCTTCAGGAAATGGGCAACAGCCGTAAGCATGGTGCAAAAATAAAAGCAGCTCCTCATGGTCGCATACAATGAATATGGATAGTCTTTAGGTCTGAAGAAGACACGGCTTCGTTCGTGGGGTGTACTGGCGAGTAAGCGTAATGCAGCTTCACTTGGGAACCTGCCTCAAACCAACCTTACAGTCATTACGCGCCTAGAACGTGTCCCAATCTTTAATCATTATGGCGGCAAGAAGTGCAGCTCTAGAATACAAGGCAGGTAGACATATTGTTGTAATAAGATGTCGGCTGAAGCTAATCGAATCAATTACAGCTACTAACATTGCACTGGCATTGCGTATCTACAAACTACTGCATACGTGAGCATTGTCAAGAAAAGTTTTCGCAGAAGTTTACAGCTCGGCTGCATTTTTAGCGGTAAATTACGCGGCCGTGTTGGTTGCTCATTTTGGTAACATCCATAATAGGCTGGCATCCCCGTGCACGTTTCATTTCGCTACATGCTCAAATGTGAAAGTAGGTTTTCTAAGTCGGCAAGTGCAAGTAAGTTTCTTGAGTTGGAGGATTATTCAATATGATACTGGAATTAAGGCCTGATTATCATTGTCATGGGCAAAGAGGCAGATGAGCTTTCAACAACCTATGAGACAAGCTAATGTCATCTATATATAAAAGAAGGCAGCCTCTACGAGGCCACAGATAATTGACCCTGCCAATCACAGCTCAGAATATTCAATGTAACTACGCACTCCAGCCAATCAAATTACTTGCTTACTTGTACGCACGGAGCTACTGCGTTTCGTGGATTTTTTCTTCTAGCGTAACTACGGAGCTCTTTGTTCTAAGCGTCCAGCTGCTATCTATTTATAATATAGAATCACTCTAAGAATCCAGATATTAGAATGGTGGTTGCTGTTAATGAGCATCCTCGACAGGGTGACGTTTTGCTGCCGCGAGAAATTGGCTTCGACCACACAATACTCCAACTGCTGACAAAATTGGCGCAATCATGGTGAGCGACGGCCATAATGGCAGCATCTCTGATAGGGTCATTATTGAAAGCGTCGGAATGATGGAGGGTTGCATTCAGCATACACTCCACTACATTTCTCTTATTTCCTGTTGGGCGACACGGTCGATTTTCAGCAATGCCGCTGCGGAATTTTGTCTATGACGAAAAAGAGAGTCGAGGTTTCAATGTAAATGATAAAGCTTCTGTACGTGGGAGAGATTCGGAAATTAGAAATGCAATACTATTCGTATATGGACAGCATTTACATTGGTCGGACTTGTTGATGCATGGGCGTAAACCAAGCAAGTTCGCTTGCAGTTCATCTCCAGCAACCAAATTGATCTGCGTTGTGAGCTTTGCTCGGTAATTATGGACGCAGTAAATGAGGATAATCACAGTGCGGCACGAGTTGGCCGCAAAGTGATTATACCCTCCTGTTTTGCAAACAGCGATCGTCAGATGAGCCAGCTGTACAGGACACCAAGGCTATCGTGTGTAATTATGGCCGACCGGACCTTTTATGACGTTTAGGTGCATTACAAAGTGCCCTAGATCACAGCCGAGCTTAAGCCAGAGCAACAGCCTTGTGGTGGAGTGGCGATCGCAACAATTTTCTTCTTCAAAGCCTCATGATCGTACGGGCTTGGTGGCAAGAGGGTTTTAACATCAAATTACAGGAGCTTTGGATTTTATCGAGCGAAAAAAACTTTGATAAGGTCATTTAGTTTATTGAGGAAAAAAGGCCCTCCCCACGCACACATCCTTATTACCTGGATGAGGCATCCAAGCTCCGTACGCTACATCAGATAGATTCGGCAGTCTCCGCAGAGATCCCTGACCCAGACACCCATCCTGATGCATATTAGACAGTGACGCGTTGTTTGTTCCATGGAGCGCGTGGCATAGAAATTGTAACGGGCTAAGGACCCGTTACCGTCTTACACTAAAAGGCGTTGAGGAAGCGCTCTTAATTAACTCGTAAATATAACTCTGTCTTATTTTGTTTTAGTTTTAATTCGCAGTAAGTGCGAATATGTTCCCTAGCTCATGGGAACCACTCAATATGGAAGTCAATTTATTATTGGCTAATTATTGGGTCTGGCACCCCAATAATAAACCAATAATAGAATGACGCGCAGTATCCGCTAATCGGCTACTGACCTATGCCTACTTATGTAATAATGTATTAATCCTATAACTACTTATGTAATACTGTAGGTAGACCCATTACATCACCCCCCCCCCTCTTTAAGTTGCGCTTACCTCAACGTAAGTGCGAATCTCAGAAAGCTTCTTCGATCAGCGGCCTAACTCCGAACCTGCTCAGTTAGACTTAACTGAGCAGCATGGACCCTAGGCGTCCACGAAACAATGTCTCTGACAACCAGAACTGGGAACACCAAGCGACAATTCGTAGAGAACAGGCGCCGCAGGTCATGGATGGGGACTCGAAACCGTGGCGCTTGTATGGTCTTGAAGGTGCTGTCGGATACAAGCCACTGGAGGTCATGAAGGACTTTTCACGCGATACCGTACAGTGAGAGGCAAGGCGATGAACAACGCATATACCGACGATGCGTTGTAGAGGTCTTGGTGTGCCTTCATCAGGCGCTGGAACGCGAGCCGACGTGAAGGAACGTCCTTCACGTCCTGGTTAGACGGTCGCGAGGGAGCGCGTGATAGACACGCTATTGGCGACCTGCGCCGGCGCATCTGTCGTATGACTTGTGACGAGTATCACCTTTGTTACGTCCACATTCGTGAGGGATTTCCAACGTGCAACGTGGGCAGATCGCGACCGGTCCGGCAGGAATGGGACGACTTGGTGTGTGTGCGAGGCATGCCCGATCATATTCGTCCATGGATTGCCCGTTATGAGAGAAGCCTTTCGGAGCTCCAGGTGTCCGAGCTACGGCGAGTGAGAGCGCGTCCTTACGATCGCCGAGGGCATTCACGTAGCCGAGGTCGTCAACCGTATCATCCATATGCTCCCGAGCCTCGTAATAGGTCTCGGTGTCGGAGTCGCTCGGGAGGTCGTCGCGGTTTCGTTGCTCGTGAGCATCACGGCTCGCGATATCGGGGATGAAACCGGCAGCGTCGGTCGCGATCACGGTCTTTCTACGGGATTCGTAGCCCTCGACCACGTCCGGGACATCTTGGGACAGCGTACTCGATGGCTCCCATGTATCGTCCGCCGGGAAATATATCCCAACCAGTGAACCCTGTAATGTTTCTCGACACGCTTCTTCATGGGCGCCGAGTTATTACTTGGCGCCTGGGGCTTGTGATCCTCGTGATCGACAATACGGTTGAAAATCCAGCGTCGCGCACCCGATGCATCAACTAAGGGAGGAGGAGCATCACGACGGAAGACCTCTGGCGATGAGCGCCGATTCTTGCAATCGGCGCATGTACAGTCGAATGATGAGCTGCGCCTACTTCGCGCTGAAGCCGAGGAATCGAAGAATGCCCTACTTGATGCTCGCGAGATGGCTGAGAGAGCTCAAGATTGTGCGGATGCTGCGACTGAGGCTGCTGAGCGGACTCGACGTGAGCAGCTGATACTGGTTGAGCGCCTACGTCAACTTGAGACGACTGCGTTCGGAGGACCCCAGCAGATCGAGTCTGCACGCGTTCGGGCAGGACTTGGTCCCAGTCGTCGTCAACGTCGTCGTCAAGGGATGTCGGATTTCGAGCCGGCACAGAAGAGCGGGGAAGATTCGAAGGGAGATCCGCCGGCAGGTAAGCCTTGAGGCGCCCGACGTAGAACGTCGGGTGCAAACGCATAGATGTAGGTATGTCTAGCGTTTAAGCTTCACCATGCAACTTAAAAACCCGAAATAGGACAATAGATCTTGGGGCTAACTTATTAGCGCCCAAATTCGTCACTGAGGTGTTCGGTAATCCACTTGTTGATAACAATACTCTGTCACCTTCTCGAAATATCAACATATTCTTTCGACCTCTTCTGTCTGCATTCTCCTTTTGCTTGTCGACTGCCTCTTGTAACACATCACGCACAAAACGCGTGATTCCTTGTCGTAATAGTAGAAATTCGGTTACTACAGCCGAACTTACAGGCGACGTATGTTCTTTTGGAGCAAAATTGGCAACGGAAGATGCGATGGAAAGCATCGCGTCAGGAGTCGATATGCCGTTGGCCACAAAATTACCAGTAGTAGGTGCATCGGCAGCAACCTTATGCGCATCGTAATCACTCAGCAATAGTTTCGGCGCAATTCCATCCGTAGATACTCCCCCACCAAGCTTGGAGACTGGGTGTTCTGAAGCTGAGAGAGCAAGCAGCGCCGGAACGCGAGGATGCCTCGCGTTGTTAACGAAAAAGGGCGTCAACCCGGTTGACGCATGGACAGCATTGTTGATTGCAAACTCTGCAAGTGGAAGAAATGAACTCCATGACGAGAACGATGTTGCATAACTGCGCAAGACATCTTCGAGCACTCTGTTCACACGCTCCGTTTGCCCATCCGTCTCTGGATGGGCTGCCGTAGACATGAGCAACCGCGTGCCTAATAGCCGGAATAATTCGGCTCAGAAAGCCGAAGTGAAACGCGGGCCACGGTCCGAAACAATAGATTCTGGCAAGCCGTGATGGCTGAAGATAAGATCAATGAAGATCGTCGCTGTCGTCTCCGCCGTAATGTTGGCGGAGACCGGAGCAAAATGCACCATTTTGCTGAATCGATCCACTAGAACCAATACGCCCGTGCGTTTCTGTTCATCCGGTGGAAGGCCAAAGATAAAATCCATGCTGACCGAGCGCCAGGCTTCCGTAGCAATCGAAAGCGGACGCAATGGGGC